AAGGAAGGACCCCACTCTGCCAGAAAGCTTCCTGTCACAAGTACGCACCCAGTCAACAGGCCTACGTTGGCTGCCTCTCTCCATGGGCCAGGCAGCCCACAGCCAGCATGTTGTACCCGTATCCTAGTTCTATACACTGTACCATCTTGTGCCATCCCACCTGTGCTCCTCGCAGCTCTTCTTGGTGGTGGTACTGAGGTACCTCTTCAACCTCTATGGAATTGGCTCTTTTAAGTTTACCAGAATGACAAAACTAACAAACCCCCTGGGTAGGCCAAGCCACCTGGTTTGTATAACAATTGATTGATGCCTGCAAGGGTTTTCCATACCTATGTGCATAATTGTCTCGTTACAAGATTGTGGCCTGACAAATTATTTTAGCAGTGCTATAAACCTATTGTCAGAAAAGGCATACATTAAACCCATTGCCCTGCACGCTGCTAGGTTCCATCCACACGGGAAGTATGACTATCTTCTTCAGCATCCCCTCCACAGCTCCACACTCGATCATTTTTTTGCAGAACACTTGAGACAATGATAAAGAGGAAAGTTGTACAGAAGGGGCTGGCCCAACTAGTCAGAACTTGCATCGGCTCTTGGTGGTCCCGTTAAGAAATAGTTGGAAGTCACTCGCCTGTTCATATGCTGCCAGTGTCTGTTCACTGCCTACTCAGTCCAAGGCCCAGGTTCCCTGACTTGGCATTTTAGGTGCCTCCAAATTGTTAGGGTTTTTTTTTTTCCCTTTCCTTTTCCACAAGATTTCATAAAAGTCAAACTTTTATGAAAATTTTTATTTTTCATAAATAAAAAGTTGGGGTTTTTTTCAAGCAGCCTTCTTACATTTTCAAATCTGGGCTGTTAAAATCCTATCGTCCTTGTACATGAAATTGTTACGAGCTCTTGAGTTTAGACTCATGGTGACCCCAAATGACACAGAATTGCACCCACAGGGTTTTCTTGGCTTGACTCTTTAAGGGAAGAGAGCCCCAGGTCTTTTTCCCTACCCAGGTGTGGGGTAGTCACAACCTTGAATTTTCTGTTTTTATGTCTTAACATCCATCAAGACACACAAAAAAAGGTGTAGATAGCCTTCTTGGAGGCCTTTGTGAACCGCCCCAGTCTGCACTGATCAACCCTATTTGAGCTCTTGATATCTGTTCCTCTTTCTTCCCTCCCTCCCCCTAGTGGCCCCTTGATAAATGATTATTTTCATATCTTACACCAACAGCTGTCTCCCTTCCCCCAGTTTCTGCTGTTAGTCCCCCCTGAGGAGGCAGCAGGTGTGTGTGTGTGTTTTGTGTTGATCATTTCAATGGTTTGCCCCTTCCTCCTACTCTCCTGGGCTCTCTACTCCCATTTCTGTTCCCGAGGGGTTTATCTGACCTGGATTCCGTGTCTTGAGTTCCTAACTGTACCAGTGCACATGCTCCAGTCTAGCCTGAAGTGAAAGGCAGGACTGGGGTCATGATGGTGGGGGTAGAGGAACCCTCAATGAACCAGAGGAATATTGTGTGTTCATAGGGGCTATACTGCGCCCTGGTTGACTCTTCCCTTCTTTGTGACCCTTCTGTGAGAGGATGTCCAATTATCAACAGATGAGTTTTGGGTCTCTGTTCCAACCCTCCTTGTTCTGTTATATGCTTGTTTGTTTGTTTTGGGTCTTCCCATGCCTTTTATCTGACTTCATGATCTCAAAGGCTGGTGTGCTTCTTTCATGTGGACTTTGCTGCTTCTCAGCTAGATGGCTGCTGGTTTAACTTCAATCCTTTAAAATCCCAGGCACTATGTCTTTTGATAGTTGGGCACCATCAGCTTTCTTCACATTTGCTTCTGCACTCATTTTGTCTTTAGTGATTGTGCAGGGAGGGTGAGCATCACAAAATGCCAGGTTGTTAGAACAAAGTGTTCTTGCGTTGAGGGAGGGCTTGAGCAGAGGCTCAAACTCCATCCACTACCTCAATGTATTGCCATGTAAATATATGTGCATAAGAATTACTAAGAGGCAGAAGAAGGGGGAGTGTGATGGTGGGACAGAAGGAAGGTAAAAACAAATATTCTAAATATGAAAAGGAACCACCTTCCTTATGCCCCATTCACCACTATTATTTTACTTACAAGTGGAACATTTCTACGTTCTGTATAGGGCCTATATGACGAGCTTTTTAAAGTCTTAAAAATAAATTTAGAACCTAAGGATTCAGCCAGTAGAATAAGGGTTCCTGGAGGGTACTGTGGGGAAGGTTGGGGTGTGTGTAAAAGGG